CTACTGTCTCGTGGAATTCTTTGGGCCGAACCTGACATCAATCTCTCCAGACTGAATCTAAAATTCCCAAGGCAGCAAGCCAAAACACCATGAATTCCTTAGGGTAGTGCCAGTCTCATCTTCTTAACCTCCCCACGCTACTGCTGGGGGCTAAGAACACGCTTATCTCCCTGAGCCTGGCCTTCATAAGTCCATTCCATCACAGCTTTTTAGCTATGATCCAGTGTAAAAAGATACCATTTGAATTATGGAATCCTTTGTTAACTATTCCTATTTTTGCACCATCCAGAATTTTTTTTCAGTCCCAGCAGAGAACCAGGATCTTTCTTCTGCTTCCCTTCCTGTAATCTACACTACTGCCACTACCACCACCACCAAAGAGTGACACACTACATACTAAATTTAATTGGAAGTTGAAAACTCAACTCTTAGTCTGTCTTATCACTTGCTCCCTCATCTCTCTCAGTGCAGACATCAGTGGTTGATCCTGAATAGCTTTTTGCAGGGATAACTGATCTTCTGGAGTCAAAGGGCTGAAAGGGGTTACCTGCTCAGTGCCAGAATCCAGATTAAAGCATCCATGAAAAAAAGATCTATCCATCTTCTGCCTGAACACATTAACTCAAAAGAACCCACCAACAACCTTGGTAATTAGTTCCATTTTTTAATCTTTCCTTCATGTTAAGAATTTTTTTGATTAACATTCAACCGGAATCTACCTCACTGTAAAGAGGTAAGGCCATTATTATGTGCTGTGCACTCTGGATTAATAGGTAACAGCTCATGTCCTCCTGAGTTGCAACCTTTCAGGTACTTGAAGAGTGCTATCATATCCCCTCTCTGTTTCTCTCCTCAAAGCTAACAGGAATTCCCCCTCTCAATCTCTCCTTCTAGGACCCTGATTACCTTCCTTTTCTTTTCACCTGTTTTCTCACAACCTGCCACTGTCAGGGAGGTGCCAAAGAGGAGCAAATCTCCTGCCAAGCTTTCTTGGCAACTGTAGCCTGTCCAGCAAAGAGAAAAAACCTCCTTGGTCCTCTGAACTGGAGATGCCACAGAAGTAGCCTGCTGTCACCTCCCTTTGAAGCATATATGCTTTACCACAGGGTTAAAGTTCCCTCCACAGAGAGATTAAAAAATAAATAAATAAACTGCTGCTTACTTATTTTTAAACGAGATGATTTAAAAAGAAAATAAATCTGCATGGAAAACAGAGCTCCTGCACGGTTAACTGAAGTGGGCATTAGGCTTACCTTGGAAACCAAGCTAGCTCTGTAAGCCGCGAGGGCCTTCAGGTATTCCTTCTTGGCGGCTTCCGTTTTCCTTTTATATACCTGTTAAAAATGGCGCAATTTTAACACCAGACCTTCAAGCGTACAAGCTTCACATAATACACTAATTCTCGCCTGAAGAGGAGCTGTTATGGTCTCATAAAAAAGGAAGAAAACCAAAAGGGACCTTTGCCAATGTTCTCAATACTGCATGTCCCCCTCCTCCTGCTGAGACTTGGACTGAGCAATAGCGTAAACATTTTCAGCGTTAAAGAGAAGGCTGAGATTGAAGCTGAAATGAAAAAGGCGGCTAACCCACCCACTCCATTTTTATCTCTTCCTTGAACATTTGCATACGGCTCATTCTTGTCCAAATTTTTTCTAAAGTGACCGTGCTTTCTCCAAATAGAAATGGGTTGCATTGCTGATGTAATCTCACTATGGGATCATTTCGTCAAGGGCAAAGCCAATGCAGAATGATGGCACTGCTGTTTTTCTGAATGAGCTTGACGGTCCTTTGTGATGTTATCATATAATGAATTCTCATTGGCTAGGCGACTATAGTGACGATATGGTTCTCTGAAGGGTGCAACTGATTGGTTCTGGGAACACTAGTCCCGGAGGGACAGGATTTAGCCATTGGCTGAAAGGGACATAACATTTTTTTCCTTACAAGAGTAGGAGTAAAAGTTGGGAAGATTGCAAATCCTTTCCTTTATCCTTCTCAATATAAACTTGCTTATGAACAGGGTCTGTCCTAAATTCAGTTCAGCTCTCTCAGTACAGCTTCTTTTTACTGAGGCGATAAACGCAATCCAGGTTTGTATACAGTGGGAGCGGGTTTGTATTACTGAACTTTCCTTTTGCACAAAACAAAAAGAAAAAGAAGCAAAGCAAAAACACCAGAATTGTTTCTTGGGATAGAAAGAAAAAAAAAACTTTTTAAGAAAGTCCATTCGGCCTGTATTTTGTACAAGTGTGTGCGTGCGTGTGTGTACAAGCAGGAACATGTAAGTAGCGTCGCTCAATGATTGTGCAACTTCCTGTTAAAAACGCTTCTAATCAGTTAATCCATTTATTCATGAAAATACTACCAAACTACCAGGACTACAATTTAAGACCACCAAGTAGATCTTGAGTCTTGTTTCTCAGGCAAGATGATAGACAGCATACTCATGTTCCCATCTGTGCTAGCTTCCTAATTAACGAAGTTCAAAAAGATCAGCCCACTGCTGTTTAATTAGATGGACTGTAATCTCTGGCACCTTTCCATCCATCTTCAGCCCCCAAAACCCAACGAC